GTACCCTACTTCTGCAACTAAGCTAAAGCTAAGTTCGTGTATTTATCCTTGTTTGTAACCATTTAATTGTCCATTTGTGTCATATACTTTCTAACTGCAATATTTAATCTGCAGTTGGTGATTTTATCATCAATATGTATATACACAGGTAGTGTGAAACTGACAAGTTCTACATCTCATATGGACAGATATTTTATTCAAGCTATGCCAGTTTAGACTTGCTCATCACTGACTGGATGTTTCGGTTGAACTTTTCTACAAGCCAGTCTCACAGCAATTCACTCTGGTCAATTCTGAAGACATTTTTTGGCTCTCAACCTTTCTATTGCCGCGACCCTTAAATACAGTTCCTCATGTTGCAGTGACCCCCAACCATACAATTATTTTTGTAGCTACTTCATAACTTCAGTGAATATGTGTTTACCCATAGTCTTAGGCGACTCCTGTGAAAGGGTTAGTTGACCCCTGAAGGGATCGTGACCCATAAGCTGAGAAGCACTGGGCTAGAGACAGGATGGTGTGCTTCATCGGTCTTCACCAGTGCCCCACAGTGTACCTGGAAGGACCATTCTTGTCAACCACACTTCTTCTCTACAGCCATCAGAATCTGGACAATCTTGTAAAGCACATTCTGTGGTTTTCTTTGGGGCAGCACATCCCCATGTGGCAGAATCACCAAAGTCCAAACGATGTACACAGGACCCAGTAACACACAAGCAAATGTATCTACATAACTATGATGAATTACAGAAAAATTATGAACACTCACATTAAACATATTATGCCAGTCTACATCATGTGTAACAAAACACCTTGTCTAATAAACAGAATTTTGAAACATCAACATTCACACATACTTACCTTCTAAGGTAAAGAATAACATAAATGTACAGTATCCACATACATCAATGTGCTGGATATGTTTTATCAAAAGTGCCAAAATAACAGTAACAATGTTATCATAAATATTGTATTTACACAAGGGTTTCAATAAATAAGACAAAATCCACATACAAATCTGGATTGAAAAACATTACACATAGCATGGGGGAGGGAAAGGGGGGTGTTGTGGTAGAAGATCAATTTTCATTACTGCCAGTAAACATAAAAATTTGGATTTAAAAAATGGTAGTGTAGCCAGATGTAGGAGATGCATCCTTGTTATTGCCAGATTTACAAACCTGCTTCAACAATCAAGACATCGCAGTTAAGACAAGTCTTACACTCCAAGACTGGAATGTTATGGCTTTCCAATTTTATTTGTTAATCACCATTTGTTATCTTCCTTCATTTACCCTTGGATCCCAGAGCAACATTAATGTCCGATTTATTGTTTATTTTTGTGTTCAGAGATGTCCAGGTAGCTTAGTTCTCTTTTTCTTTTTCTTCTTCTATTTTGGTATCCACATGTTCTTTAAAGTCATCAACTATGTCCACTTCCACTCTTGGGTATAATGATATCCTACTGTCCTTATTTAACTTTACTTTAAATTACATTATTTCACTTAATTTTACTTTACCTGTTTTATTTTACCTCACTCAGCTTCACCTTGCATTACATTATTTCACTTCACTTTGCTTTATATTATTTCACTTCATTTTCCTTTGCTTCACATTATTTCACTTTACTTTCTTCTACTTCAGCATTCCGAGCCCTTGAGGTTCACTGCTGCAGATATCACCTGCCTCCATTCATCTCTAAATTTGGCCTTCTCTTTCTAGTTGGCGACACCAAGTGTTTGCAGGTCTGACTGGACATTATCTCCTCATTGTCTTCTTGGTCTGCCTCATTGTCCTCGACAATTCAACTCTTATGTATTCACAGTTTTTACCTCTGTCATCTGACAATATGCCCCAGGCATTTCAGTCTTTTAGCACTCATGATGCCAGTGATCAATGGTGATCAAAACAGATAATGAATTTCGCTTTACTTCACTTTATTCTACTTTAGATCAATTCACTTTACTTCACTTTATTCTACTTTAAATCAATTCACTTTACTGTGCTTTACATTACTTTATTTCTCTTTACATTACTTCACTTTACTTTATTATACAACCTAGTCTGAATTATTCTAAAACCATCTCCCAAATCTTTGTACCTTTTACTGTCGCTCTTCTTCATAAAGGATGTAAAGGTATTTTAGTCTTGTTTCTTCTATTTCTTCATTTCATTCCCAGACTGCAGGCCCTCAACCAAAAGCTGGTGTGGGTGATCATGCCCCTCCACATCTCCCATTCTTTTGTTCTAAAAAAGGGGATTTATAAAGTAATGTCCCACATTTTGTTTTTAAATCACAAGCTTGTGTGCAAAAATGTATGAGATTCCCAGACAATATAACTCAATATGCCCTGTACATATAATAATCTTATGTATAATCTCTGTCTCCTTCTATGAACTAATGCCAAAGCAAAACAAGGGCTTGTAGGGCTTGCCCATATTAGGTTTTCACTGTTCATTAAGACATTTCTTCACAGAACAGATACCTTCTTGAAGTCCACTTCTCTACTATGAGTTGAGTTGAGCTGATTCAAGAACTGCCATCACAGCACTAGGGGCATTCCCATAAGCGCTCCATCCTAATCTTCAGCAGCCACTGCAGAGTTCCAACACTAATGGTGCCAGTAGCATTCTGAATAAACCCCCGTCTTGCTTTCAGTCTGAGCCTTGAGCATCGGCCAGAACCCCTCGTCACTCCCCACTGCATCAATCTCACCAGACTGTGGCGATCCATCTGCTCCACCGAACTGTTTATGCTCTCCCACAAAGCATTAACCATGTCTGCCATATCATGCATCAGTATTCCACCAAGTTGTGCAGAGACAGCCAGTCTGCCTGTTCATTTCCCAACACACTGGCATATCCGGGAGAAAAAAATCCAGACAATACTCCTCATCAGTGTCTTACGCAGTGAAGCATGCCACTCTGCATAAAGCATGCCAGTCCTGACCTTCCTCAGCATGCTTTCTGAGTCAGTTACAATCACAATGTGTGGAGTGTCGTGTTCTCTAACCAGCGGAAAGCTGCAGTGACCACCTCCACCTTTAATCTGAAGCTGGATGTTGTGGTATCATATGCTAGGCTTTCCTGCACCAAATGTCGACCATTAACTTCTTTTGCCTCTTGACACTGAACCGTCTGTATAAATAATCAAATCCTCTGAGCGAGCATTATCTTAAATTAACTGCTGAATTACCACCTCCGAGGCACCTGCTGGCCAGTCTCTGCATTCCCGGCTAAATGTGATTTCGACCCCACACAAGTCTGACTGTTCATCTGGCACTTTGACCCACTCCTCTCTTCGCCTAATGTTCTCAGGATGCAAACCTGTCTGATTGAATCTTCTGACCGAGCCATCCATGAATTCCCGATTATCAGCTGCTGACCCTTAACTACATACATAGCTTCGTGCAAAGAGTGATGTTTCTGCAGCTACAGTGAGACATGGTTTCGCCTGCAGCACCTTGTGTCTACCTGCAACAGTCGGCAAACACCACTGGCGTGTCTCTGGTGGAACCCACAATGACTCTTATAGCTGCGTTCTGTATGCGCTCTAGTTCATCTATCTGATTCTTTGAGACGGTAAGCAGTCCCAGTCCAAAATTAATCACTGACAGTCCTTTTTGGCATCTTGTCACAACACTCTCCACATCGTCCTTAAAAAACAGGCTCCTGTCAAATGTAATTCCTAGATGCTTCAGTTTGCTCTCTCTGTTGATGTTTCTACCATCTATCGTGAGACTTGGGAGATTAGCTCTAATGATCCTGTTGTCTAGAGAATGTCACAAAACAGACACCTTTTCTCCACTTCATGAAGCTTTAACATTCTAAAACCAGTGATCAACTTTCATACACATATATATATTTATGAAGTTCACCAAAATGTATTTTTCCGCTTGCAAAAATTTCACATTCGTTGTTTGTAGTGTACACAGTCCTTGCCATCTATTTTGAGGGAGTACTACTGCTGTGGTTTTTGTTGGAATAAGTCGCCACTCTGTATATACATCATCATCATGCTGTAGGTCCTTTATAGAGTGTTGCTCCCATTCAGGTCTGCTTAAAAAAAAAACTAAAGTCTCTCGCCAGCTCTCCCACCTTATGAACTTGCATACCCAAGGTATCATGTATATCCTGTGCCCATCTTCCCCGTAGTAGGTCCCTGCCCCCTCCATGTTGATACCATGTTTTCTGCTATTATTTTTTTTCCAATGTCCTGTGGCACTTGATATGGCCAAAATGTTTTAGCTTCCAAGGCAAGATGCTGTTTACTAACCAATCTTTCTCACTGTTCAGATCTTTTAGGATGCCATATTATACCTAAAACAGTGGCATTTAACAAATTAGTAGCCACAGAAAAGAGATGTCCGAGAAGGGCTGATGGAGTGATCAGAAGAGATAAAATCAGAAATTAGACCATGAGAGAAAAAGTCGGCACAGAACCAATTCTAAATTACATACAAAGGATGAAGTGGTCTGACCATTTAGAATGCATTGCAAGGCATACACTAAAAGAGAAGGACATAGAGCACAAGACAGACAAAGAACAAGATGGAAAGATAACATCAGAGAAACTTTACAACAGCATGATGTGTCTGTGGACAAGGCAGCCAGAAGAACCAGAAGCAGGACCTTATATCTCCCTCTATATCCGAAACGGTAAAAGAGGAAGTGCAGAAGAAGTGACATCCAAAATTTTAGGCGGCCAAAATGCATGTTTATATTTTCATATTTGCTAAAGAAAGAAATCTAGCATGACTTTCTGAATGCCCCCTATGTTATCAACTGAATGCTGCTGTGCATCCAGCCTGTGACACAGTAATGTCCAAACTCCTTTCTCATTTGTCTTCGCCTTTCCCGCCACTCCAACATTCTGCCTCAAACTGCTCTTTGGGTATTTCTACAATGAAAACAAAAATGTTGCTCCCACAGTTTTCACATTTCTTATCAGGAACGCTTGTTTGCATATTGAAGACCAGTGGGTCCCGGCAGAGGGGTTTCTAAACGTTGTACTGGGTGGAATCCTGGGAGTCTTTCAGTCGACTTGATTGCAGCGGCCATAACCATAACAAGGGGTGACCTTTGGAAAGAAAAAAAAACACAATTTTTGACATCATTTTTCACCTAACTCACCTGACTCCCAGCTCCTTCTACAATACTCTGAGTTTCATATAACACGAAAAAAAAGGTTGAGAATTATATTCTTTGCGTTCACCGGCTGTAAACTCTGACAGAAAGTTCTGGGTGTTCGTCTACCACCAGACTTTAGTCTTGTTGCAGGCGCTAAGTATTGCATGCACATTCATTTCACAGATCTGGCTTATTTGTATGCAGACTCTTGGTTCTTTGCCTCTCAGGCAGATGTTCTTCGATTTCAAAGGATGACTCCGCCTAATCAACTCTTATGACATGCTTGTTGGGAAGGCAGTGGGTCTATTTTTGTTTTCCCCTGGATCCCCCAGGGGGAAATGATCATTTTAAATATGTTGAGTATCACAGAAAATAAAATGATATGTTGAATGCCATAGGAAATAAATGATATGTTGAATATCATAGGAGATAAATGAAATGTTAAGTATCATAGGAAATAAATGATATGTTGAATATCATAGGAAATAAATGATATGTTGAGTATCACAGGAAATAAATACAATGTTGAGTATCATAGAAAATAAGTGAAATGTTGAGTATCAAAGGAAATAAATGAAATGTTGAGTATCATAGGAAATAAATGATATGCTGAGTATCACAGTAGATAAATAAAATGTTGGTTATCATAGGAAATAAATGAAATGTTGAGTATCATAGGAAATAAATGAAATGTTAAGTATCATAGGAAATAAATCCCCCGTGTGGGTTCTGGGGCCCCATTGTGGGGAAAACAAGAATAGACCCACTGCCTCCCCAAAAGCATGTCGTAAGAGTTGACTAATTGGGGAGCTTCCTTTCAAGTCGGAGTGCATCTGCCGGAGAGGCAAGGAACCAACAATGACTCCGTCTGTATTCAAGAGAATGAGATCTGTAAAACTGATGCACACGCAACACTCAGGTTCTGGAGCAGAACTGCAGTTCAGTAGTGGACGAGCAACCAGAACTTTCCGCCAGAGTGTACAGCTGGTGAACGCGAAGAAGAAGAAGAAGATAGGAAATAAGTGAAATGTTGAGTATCACAGGAAATAAATGAAATGTTCAGTATCATAGGAAATAAATGATATGTTGAATATCATAGGAAATAAATGATTTGTTGAGGATCATAGGAAATAAATAATATATTGAGTATCACAGGAAATAAATAAAATGTTGAGTATCACTGGAAATAAATGAAATGTTGAGTATCATAGGAAATAAATGAAATGTTGAGTATCATAGGAAATAAATGAAATGTTGAGTATCACAGGAAATAAATAAAATGTTGAGTATCACAGGAAATAAATAAAATGTTGAGTACCACAGGAAATAAATGAAATGCTGAGTATCATAGGAAATTAATGAAATGTTGAGTATCATAGAAAATAAATGAAATGTTGAGTATCATAGAAAATTAAATATGTTGAGTATTATAGAAAATTAAATGATATGTTGAGTATCATACAAATATAAATGATATGTTGGGTATCATAGGAAATAAATTATATGTTGAGTATCGTCATCGACAGCAGCACAGTCCCATTCCACTGCTGTTCATTGGGTCACCAGTTGCTGTTCAATCAGTTTCCACTTATCACAAAAATTTTCTGAGCTGCTAGACAACAATCAAACTCACTTCTGCCAAAAACTTCCTGAAGTAAAATATATCGAGACTTTTTGGCTCGGACCGGTCCTTCCTTCTTCACATGCTCAACAGCTGTTTCATCTTTCAGTATAGCGGACATCTGCAAATAAGCAAGCATGATTATTATAAATATAAACTTTATTTCCTAGACAAATGGTAAAACCCTTTGGATAATTCCTTCAGGTCGTAATGGTGTGATGGGAAACAAGCAGGCAGATAGACTGGCCGATTCTGCACCACTTGAACAAGCTAGGTCTTGTGAGGGCCTTCTGGGAGTGAGGAAACAGTACAGAGGGACAAACAGATCATTATGGTATGAGGAGAATAGGCGATGCAGGGTATTACCAGGGGATCTGGCCGACGCTCAACACTCGGACAGTTACTGGTACCCTCATAATTGGAACTCTTTGCTTGCTGTTGAAGATGAGGATGGAGCGCTTATGGGAATGTCCTGAGTGCTGTTGGATTTTTAATTCAACATTTAACATTCAACATGATAAAATCTGAATAACGAGCCAGATTTTCTCAGTTGGTACCATTCCGCCTTTCCGGAAACAGTATTCTGCTGTGCAAGGAAGGCATGGGGAATCACAGCACACGATGGGGACTAGAATGATCAGCTCATTTTAACTCTACCAGACCGCTGTACCACTTTTTCGGTAATTTCCAAATCTGCCGCACCTAATTTTTGGTACTTGCTTGCTACAGGAAAAAAAGCATCATAAACTAAAAATAACCAACCAATCATGGTCAAACCTCATAGATAGCCTTGGCATTTCCAGTTCAAGGGACACACAAACTGTGAGAGCCCAGTGATGAGGAGAATCTTGAATCTGATAGATCTAGAGCTAGAGTGATAGCAAGAGAAGGGGGGCGCATGTCCCTCAAACAGCTGATTGTGGGGTTGGGGGGGAGGGGGGTTCTAGGTGGTGATGAAGGTTGGACAAGGAATTCTGTATCACCAAATACATATATGAATTTAAATGATTAAAAAAAGGTAAACCTGTTTTCTGCAATGTCTGTATGCTTCATCTTATTAAAACAACTTGTCTGCAGGTAAGTAATATTTGTGAATATCACGGTGGTTTTTTCGCTTTAATACCCAAGAGCCCAGATATAGGGGACAGATAGGTTCAGGGCTAAGGTATGGTATAGATAAGAAGAATCTTCCCAACAATAAATGCATTCCATTTCAGAATCATTGTCGCCATCACATGTATTTGAGATATTTCTTCTTAGTTCTTAACCTGCCCGTAATCCTTTTTCTTCTTTACCTCCATTCCAATCCTAACTTCCCCCATCATTCAATATAATCCATTACATCCTGTTCCCAGGAATCCATCTCCAAGCATGTATACTTCATATCCCACTTGCAAAAATCTTTAAATCTTAGTACAGGCTGACACTGACACCTTCCAACCATCTCAAATTCACCACAGAGGATGTCTTTAGGGACTCTACCATCCTACCCCATCCAAGTGTGTCCAAGCCATCTGAGCCTTCGAAGACTGAGCACTGAGAGGAATGTAGCATCTGTTCTTCTCAGTACCTCACTGTCTGTATTTCTTGTCCTGCCACCTAATGCCAAGCGTCCTTGTTTTGCATCACACATGAAAGCTATTTAGCTATTTATCCTGAAGCAAGTAAGTTGACCAAGTGCAAAATCATCAAAACACGTTTCCCAGAATGTAAATTTAAAATAAATCAAAACAGTCTAAAACAAGTCAATTTTTGTGTCAGAGCATGAGAGACAGGTGGCAAGGTCAGGGCACGTGTGTATAACCATCAATCAGCTTGCCGTGACAAACGTACTTAATTCTACTTGCTCATTCTCTCTCCCCAACTCCCTGAGTTTGATGATTTCCTTTAATGCTTTACAGTTAAATGGTGAACCATTGCAAGTACATTAACGCTGCCATTTATGGTCACCTGACAATGAGAACAAACTCAGAACGTGTTCACAATTCACGTGAGGAAGTCCGAAGTACAAACGAAAGCATGCTCTATAACTATTAACTAGCTTTATTATCCTACCACTGCTACAATCATTATAAATAACAACTTGTTATGAAACTCTAACAGTTGACACTATCTACCAGCTTGATTATAACTGCTATATTATATCTGACAGGCCCAAAATAAATCAAGTTCATCTTTCTTTTTGTTTCTTCTCCAAAAGACCACGAGCTAATCCTTTGTATGGGCTCATTTGCATACTGTCTCATGCTATTTACGGGTTCTGCGCCCTCTTTGTGATTATTTACATATCTTGACCCTCAATCCCTAGACGGGTCATGACAGTGTTCAAGTATTTGTGTCCCTTAAAAACAGTAGATAGGAGATATATTAAAGAAGTTATTATAACAAAAAATTTCAACAATAAATGATCCCTTTTATGCCTGTGGTGCACTGGGCAAATGATGCTAAACTCATATTTGTATGGACCAACTGGCACTTGCTGGGTGATGTGGTAAACACTATGTCAGTTGCCTTCACCTCCCCCAGACATTACCTGGCACCTGTTTTAAGCTGGTTCAACCTTAGAGATAAGGCTCCTTTTTAAAAGAAATCTGACTTGATTACCCAAAACTTTGAGCCAGCAGGCAAGCATCTAGGCTAATGGTACAGCTGCTCCCGATTGTTTGAATATGTTGTTCATCCAGTGCCGGTGATGCGGACCACTCTTTCTTTCATCCATAATAAAAGAGTGACTTACGCAATGAATTAATTTAGACTGGGGAATAGTTGTGCAAAAGCTGTTCCCAATTACATTTAACACACACACAACCAAGAACACATACTCACTTGATCACAACCAATAGCAATCACAAATAAACCAAACAATATGCTTTCTATCACAAGCACAATGGAATGGATTCTGAAACATAACAATTTATCAACTGAAGGTCATCAATTTATCAACTAAGGGTCATCAAGAGGATATCTGTAAACATTTACGTTAGACAGTGAAAAAGAACATGCTTTCTAATGAGGGTAATGAAAGCAAACTGTATTTTTCAACTTGCAGATACTGAATGATAAGTCAGCAGTCTGTTCTAGCAAACACGGTGATGTGCTGCCTCTCTGACAGTATTCAGTATACCTCCTTCATCATGTTCTATGGCGGCACACAGTCCAAGACGTTTGTCAACTTCTAGACTTTAGTCTTTTTCCAGAACATGAGTTTTGCATGCACATCCATTTTACAGATCTGGCTTATTTGTATGCAGACTGTTGGTTCCTTGCCTCTCAAGCAGATGCACTCCGAGTCCGAAAGAAACATCCCTAATTAGTTGTCTTTTTATGACATTCAGCCTGGTCCTTTTTTTTCCCAAACTGTACCTTCAACAAGCTTTTCAGCCTCTTAAAGGTATAGGTAAAAGAGTAAGCAAAAGTGAAGAAGATAAAGAAACCAAATGTTATGTCATTTTCCTGATGGATGCTGGCTACAGTGGATATGTGCAGGCTCTCCTGTCTTTGAGAATTCATAATGTGGGGAGGTCCCTATTTCCTCCACAGTGCTAACTCTCGTATCAATGGTCAAAAGCCAAGATATACAGACTTGTATGCAAACTGCCCACGTCCCCAGGACTTAATTTCAAGAGTTGTGAAACGTGGTCACTAACCGCTAAGCTGCAGAATTAAATAGGAAAGATCATATAGAAGTCAAAGCTGGAGATTATGACAAAAGAAAGAAAGCAGAATCAGCATGGAAAAATGAACAAATTCAGTGCCATCTCTCAATGCCTTCACTAAGCACTTTGATTCTGTTCTAGAACATTAAGTCTTGTGTGCACATCTGTTTACAGATCTGACTTATTTGCATTCACACTGTTGAATCCTGGCCTCTCAGACAGATACACTCGGACTCTGAAGTAAACACTCCTAATAAGTCGCCTCCTAAAACATGCTTGTTGGGGGAGGGGGTGGGTCTATTCTTTTTCCTCCCCAAATGGGGCACTGGAAATCACATAAACAAGAATATGCACAAGGCAATGTTTAAAAAGGTTAGTTACGTATCCTTTACCTGACGTTGCAGAACCAGGCTGTTGTGGGGGTTTTTCTAGGCAAATTTACGTCCAGTAATTTGCCACTGCTTTCTGGGCGGTCGGCTTTCTTGATACCACTGTCGAAACCAACGCAAGGTGCATGGCCCAATGTTTAAAACAAAACAGGGATCCTGAATGACTTTGGGTAGATTTTTAACTCCAAATTTTGTCCGGGCAGCGCCATTAGACTACTTTTTTTTTATTTCCAACTGCCAAGGAAATTTTTACGTGCGCAACAGTGCACTTGGGCGTCCCATCTCACTACCCAGGAACCAGGGAGAATTACTAGAAGTCCAAGGCAACATGAAAAAATCCCAGCCCTTACCGGGGATTGAACCTGGAACTTCTAGCACTCAAAGCAGACACCATGCCTTGACCGCACGCAGCCCCCCTAAAATTACAGGAGTAGGCACAAAATAAAGGTGGAAGACAAAAGAACAAGAAGAATATTCCGTTATGTACTTACAGTTTGACATGCTTGATCTCCTTCCCTGCCTTGGTCTCCAGGACCCAGGACACTATGACTAAACTAATGGCAAATGCACTGGCCAGGCCTGGGGAAAGAGAGAGAGAGAAAGAGAGAGAATAACATTATTATTAACAAAAACACCATCATTGTTATTATCAAAAAATTAAAACATATTTACCATATCGTCAACATCAGCAGTATTATTTTCACTACCTGCATCATTATTATCCTCATCATCATCATTACTGCACCCACCATTACCATTATCACCACCAACAGCATCATTATCACACCCACCATCACCATTATTATCATCACTAAAAAAAAGTACCCTTCAGGGGTACTGGGCATACAGGGCTAGACCTATATTTTACAGACCAATGGCACTCGGCGGGTGATGTGGTCAACATCATGATGGACACCTTTACTTCCCATGACTTCACCTGGTATCCACTCAAGGCTGGGTCAACCTGGGAGCCGAGGTTATTTTTTTAAAGAAAAAGGTCCAGTCCTGTCCGGACTCAAACCTACAAAATTCAGATTCATTGGTGAGCATCTAGCCGCTACACCATGGTGGCTCCCTATTACTATAAGATCACCATTATTATCATCAAAAACATCATTAATACTATAATCACCATCGTGACCATTACCATCAGCAGCATCAGATTTGGTTAACAAAAGTATCAACCAGTCAAAAAGATGCAATGGAGGAGAAAACAAAATGTCAGACCACACAGGGAGGCAGGTATCTGGAGGGGGAGGTTGATGAAAGAGACAACAGTGGTGGTGTTGAAGAAGATGAAAGCCAAAAAAAAAATTATGTGCCTACTTATAAAGAATACCCTGCAATCCCATACCTGACAAGGCAAACATTTAAAGAGGAAAATGATGTAGAGCACAAGGTAGACCAAGAACAAGATGGGAAAGATAACAAAACAGAAATTCTACAACAGTCTGATTTGTCTTTGATCAAGGCGGCAAGAAGAACCAGAAGCAGAACCTCATATCTGCCTCAATACCATTAAGCAGTTAAAGAGGAAGTGAAGATGAAGATGATAAGGATGGTAATAGTTCTCAAGATGAATATGATAATTGCGATGATGATGATGATGATGATGCTGGCGATCGTAGTTGTGATCATGATGATAATGAAGACAGAGGTAATGATAGGATGAGCATCTAAAATTTTTTTGTGTGTATGATTATGATGATGGTGGCAGTGAGTACGTTTGACAGTGGTGTTTGTAATGCTGATTATGATTATAATGGTGACGATCAAAAGGATGTTGTGATTTATGATGATGATGGTGATGATCCAGATGACTTTTGTAGTGATGAAGGTGATTATTATGGCAATGATACAGTTGGTGATGACATGATGCAGATGATAATATTACTTGTCATAATGTTCGAGATGAAGATGAGGATGAGTAATAGCAAGTATGATGATGATGACAATGATTATTATTATTGTCATGACGATTATGATTATCATGATGATTATTAATATAGATGATAAGAATGTCAATGGTAGCAAATGGGTGGTACAATGCAGACAATCAAGGTGATGACATTACTATACTCACCAACATAAAATAGGAACTGGATAAAATATTTCTGGTTGTACTCTCCGACACAGTTGTTGATCCTGGAGTGAGACCAATAGTCTTGTTACGTAATACTCTGCATCAAAGACAAAGACTACACACTGCTGGGGTGAGGCTGTAGGGCTATGAGACTACTGTAAGATATGCCTCCTTCAAGGAGACAGAGAGCCAGCCAGTCAGACAGAGAGTCAGAGAGAGTGTGAGACAAGGACAGGAGGAGAGAGTGAGATCAACAGTCTGTGAGATAACATGCTAAGTCATAGATACAGACTTCTGACTGTTGCAGGGCTACTAGTTTCTACTGTCTACAAAGGGACAGAAAGAGGCAGCTAGAGTCAGAGAAAGTGAGAGTCAGAGAAGGACAGAATGAGAGAGCGAGACCAACATTCTGTTAGGTAACATGCTATATCAGAGAGACTGCTGTGCTAAAGCTGTAGGGTGTTTTATACGAAATGTGCTCAAGAGTTAATGAAGCTAGGTCTGGTTGAAGCGTGGATAACACACAGGCATTTATGTCTATATTGATTCTTAATTCAACATTCAATTTATGTCCTCCGCTCTCTCACTGCCACTGGTATATGCATGTCAAGGATCTTACATCTGTGTATGCTTCTATAAGGTAATATCACTCATGAAAGGCATCAACACATATCATTCATAGCTTTCCATTTCTTCTGTATCACTGACATTGAATCTTATATGTATGTATGGCACAGCCATTCAGAGGATAATCAATGATATCATAACCTGAGATCCCACTGTGGATTCCAGGATCCCATTGTGGTGGGGGGGGGGGGAGAAATAGACCCACTGCCTCCCCAACAAGCATGTCATAAGAGTCAACTAACTGTGGGCTTCCTTTGAAGTCAGAGTGTATCTGCTGAGAGGCAGGGAACCAACAATCTGCATACAAATAATCAGATCTGTAAAATGGATGTGCCCGCAACACTCAGGTTCTGGAATAAGACAGATGTCCTGAAGCAAACGAACAACCAGAGCTTTCTGCCGGAGTTTACAGCTGGTGAACGCGAAGCATAAGAAAACCTGAGACTGCAAAGGTAATGAGACATCTATATCTTCTACATTCCTCTTTAAAAAGTGTGGTTGGTTTGTTCTGTTGTTGTGTACAACTAGGCTGTGATATCCACACCTTTCAGCTAAACACATCTGATTTCAATGAAACCCTATTAGTCACATTTTACAGCACGTTTGTGGGTCTATCCCCCCCCCCCCACCCCCCAAAAAATTGGTGTTGGAACCCACACACGATTTTTAAAAAAATATTCATCCGATGGGAAGATAATGAGATAATGAGACTAACACCAGGACTCACACTGACTAAAACCTTGGAATACCTCTCCATCATTTAGTTTATCGACAGACTGAATTCAAGTCTAGATAACATTCTAAAGAGCACCAGGTATCTCTTCAGAACTCAAACTCAAGTACCGTTCTTCCATACAAGTGATGGAGTATTCTACAACTTTTTACTATTCCTGTTAGAGATTAAATAGTCTATTCATCAGACTCACCTTGGAAGTTCCAAGAATGTTTCAATGTTCAGGTGATCCGATCATTAATTCAGCAGAATCAAGAGCTGAACTATGTCTCCCAAATGTCTACAAATCCCCCTCCCCCACCTCCCTCAATCATCTTCATCTTAAATGCATCATCTGGTCATCTTTCAAGTTGAAATCTGCGATTTAGGAGTCATAAATGTGTTTCATAACTCAAAATATATGGCTTGTTTCACTCATATACAGCTGATTTGACAGCAGACCTCTTTGAATTTTTTTTTTCCAATGGTATGAAGAAATGTCCATTCAGAAAGAAATGGCAAACACCTTAACATAAAAATATGCCATGTAAAACACAGCCAACAAATCCTGGTGTTGGTTCTGTAACATTTTGTAAACGATTTACACCAGCATCTTTCATTGGCCAATATTGCTAAAATGAAAATGGCACTTACCAGGGACAATGGTGATCCATGCGCCGGACACACCTGCGACAGACTCTACAATGATGGGCCCTGGGCGGCCGATATGTTTCACATTTCATACAGACCGTCCATCCATCATTCTGTACATTATTATGGAGGGAAAAAAAGTTCAGTATGGACATGCATGTTTTGTTTCTTTTTCATAATTTAACATGATTTCTTTCACTTTTTATTATATTTATTATATTACTCTTTGTGTTTTCCAACTGACATGGTATTTTTGACATTCACAACATGAATATTAGTTCTACAAGTTCCCCATGTGAGTTTCAGGGTCCCATTGTGGAGAAAAAAAGAATAGACCCACTGTCTCCCTAAAAACATGTTGTAAGATGGACTAGTTAGGAGTGTTTCCAAAAAAGTGGTAAATGAACTAACAGTCTGCACACAAGCCAGATCTGTTAAATGGATGTGCATGCAACAGTGAAATTTACAGCTGGTGATAGCGAAGTCTAATTTCTACTAGTTTTTTTTTTTTTTGCCCTTGTCTGTAAAAGCCAGATGACTGATCCTCTACTCTGGGACTGGGGTAATACACCATGCTTTTATTCTGTAAAAACATAAGTCTGTCAAATAATGAATCTAGATGTGCTCATGATAGAAGCATTTTGCAGTTGTGCCCTCCACCTTCCCCCCCCCCCCCAGAATTGCAATCCGCAGGATTAATATCTCATGGATGATAATCCAGCATGCACAAGTCCCCGGTAAGCCATGTTCAAATGCAAGGCTACACTGGCACCTCTGATGTTCACGGAGTAACCTGAAGTCCGGAGTAGCTGGGAACAGAGCTATAGGCAAAAATAACACCTCTAAAAGGTAAAGGTAAAGTCGGGAGATGAGAACCAGCGTCACTGCACACGGTTATAAACCATAAGTGCTCTACCACCAGTGCAGACAGCTGATAAGAAATTGTCCTGTGTCGCGGTCTGCACGCAACTCCGTAGCTACAACAACGTTCCTCCATTTACCTCAGAGTGTTAACTTTGGTACCCATTTTTAGAGGCTGGGTGAACCCCGAGAACTACCCAGTTTCGAACACCTGCCGTTGTCGTCCAGCGAGTCGCTGCTGGATTTGAAAGCGAGTCTCCTATCGACTGTACTAACGCTACCCCTACACCACTCAGCTTCACTCAGCTTCAGGCTGTGACCTGGAAACACTGAAGATAAACTGTGGTAGATCTTCGTTATGAAGATGGCAAGTGATCTGATCTGTCATGGAAGTCCCCACTGTGTACAAGTTAGGATTTTTTGGGGGGAGGGTCTTATCTGACATCAGAACTCACCCCTTTAGATCTGAGAGACCAATATCCTAGCCATATATATCCTAACTGGTCATTATTTTAAAAAGTGTATCTTACAGTGTCTTACATATACATCACAACCAAAAAAAATAAATTAACAATGAGAAAATTTCTTAACACTTGCATTTAATAACAAAGAGGACTGTTCAATAGAAGTAAGAAAAAGAAATTATGGCCAACACAAAATGGCAGAGACTACACCTTCTCATCAACTTATGACAATCCGCACTTATGACCACCACAAAAATAAATACAAATAATAAAGAAAGAAAGATAACTAACTAAATTGGTAGAGAAAAAAACCTAAACTGATGCAAAAGAGTATATATTGTTGTGTGTTTTTTTCTCCACATTATGTACAATTAGTACATAAACTGAACATTTTTTTTTAATACAGTTTTTATAACCCGTTTAAATGAAAATAGTGCAAACAATTTTTAATCAACTTAAAACCAGTTTGACTCACAACCTATCGGTCGCAACAGAACTCGGTCGCAAGTCAAGCAGACCCTGTACAAGAAACAGTATATGTAATGTATTGCTTAATCTTGTCTTTCACAGCTCTAAGACTGCATATCTCATTATATTTTCCCATTATTTCATATATTTCATTAGAGTTTTCCTTGCAAAGGTCATTCTGAACACTTATTATGTGGGTTTTATTATTGGGGGGTGGGGGGTGGAGGTGGAGAAGAGGCCCACTCCCTCTTAACAAGCTTGTCATATGAGGCACTAAGGGTCTTCTGAAATCAGATTGGTTGGGCAAAAGAGTGTAAATAAAGCAATCTAGCTGTAAACCACAATGAAATGTGACAACCACCCTTTTAATAGCAAACATGTATGAAGAAGAAGGAGAATATATACTATATGCTCATTCAAATGTCAAACAGCATTATGCTTTTTTACTTTTACTTTTACGTCTCATATATAAAGACTGCAACTGAACGAATACTATACCGTTTTTCGTTTCGATGATTCTGAATGAATATCAGAAAAATCCATGCTAGTCTTTGGAATGGGCACAATGCCAGGGTCTGAAAGCACAGCTCTCAAGTGTGACACAGTCATGAGAAAAACTATTGTATTGAAGATCACAGCACAAAACGCTCCCCAAAACCTGCAACAGATTTTGAGATATTATTTATTATAGTCAGGTAGTTCTTTCTCATTGCTTTTTTTTTTTTTTTTTCAATCAAAAATCACACACTTCATTAGGCTCCGCTAGGAAATCACTGTTAATTACTTTGCCGTTATTCGGAGGATAGCCCCAAACTCTTCCAAATGTGTTACAAACTGGCAATTTCTTGAAAACAGTTCCACCCCCACCCCCCTCCCCCCCCCAGTAGAGCTGTGTTGAGTTGATTCAGGAAGAGATAACGCAGCATTTAGAGCCTTCCCATGTGTGTTTCGTCCTTATCTTCAGCAGCAAGCGATGAGTTTCAGTTTCAACCGAACCAGTTCCCTGGTGCACAATTCTCTTAAAGTTAACAGAGAAAGCGTTCAAAAAATACTTGTATACTTGAAAAAATAATGATAACATTATAGGGGAACAAACCGAAAAGTAATAACTGATAACTGCTAAAGTAAACAAACAGCTGATTTTCTGACTTGGCACCAAATTCCCATTGATCGAATTTCGGAATTACAAGATCAAGATGCTGCGATAATTAGAATAAAATAATATGTCACTTCCTTCTGTAAGCAAAATTTTACAGACAGGCAGTCTGTACTTACGATTCGGTTAGAGACGGAATGATAAGGTGTCTAACGACGACATAATCGGCATAGAAGACGGCCAAGTAGGTGATGCCCACACAGATAATGCCGCAGGGATCCAGCCGGAACACGGCCATCTTGGCTACAGGCCGAAGAAACATGGCTTGGATGTCAGACTGGAACACAGAATCGCAGGAGCGGGACGTTGATAGGCAGTGGATTCCATTCATCATATCAAGAAGATTCATCACTATCAGGTGCCTTGCCGACTGACGTGGGCGATCATGCCTCTCCACAATCTGCGATCTCCTGCAGCATGTATCAGTTCGTGTGCCGACACACCTCCATGCCATGCAACAAGAGTGTCAAGAATCTCCTCTCGTTGTCTTTCTCTATCCCTCCATCCACAGATATTTCCAAAGGTCACAACATGTTCTATTTTCCCTATTCTCATAATATGGCCGAAAATGATGATGTCTCCTTCTGCTGTTTGTGATAAGTTGTCTTCGGGCTCCCGCCTCTTTCAAAACCTCTTGGTTGCTATCGAAAGGATGGTTAGTTGCGTATCCTTTACAGGACAGAGAATCACCAAACAAGTACTCAAAGGGAAAACACATTGATTGATTTAGTTAAGAAAACGAAGACGATAGTGGCGAGGTGTGAATTCGCATGTGTAAGTGGTTTTTGACAAAACTAAACGTTAGCATGCCACAATTACACATGTGTATTTGTAATAAATAGTGAACAGCAATAATAAATAGTAAAATAATTAAATTTTCGTATGCGATCAACAGCGAAAGAGACGATTATAACCGTTACATGCATGCGAGGCCTTTGGAGATCGTCCAAGAGAAACCCTGAGGCGACCATTTTTGAGAGCGAGTGAGGTTAAGGGTGCTGGACTCCACTCCATCCTTGGTAACAAATACCATTGTAAGGATAGAACATAAGTGAGGACTAAACTGCAAGCCCTGTGTGACATATAATGGTACAACAGTGTAGTAGTTATAAAGTAGAAGTAGAATAATAGATATCAGACAAAAGATCAAACTGATTAACACTTGGTTGTAAAAGGAGAAGTAGAGAGTAAAGGGCATACTAGACAACATAACTGAAATCATTAGTGACCCCCCTTCTGGGCAGTGGAGGCTCGCAACTAAATTTAGTTGAGGGTACTGCATCAGAAAAGATTAAGTCATTGTTTTAATATTGTGTCAAAAGAATGTTGAATCAAGAAACGACATCACAGCATCTTCCCCAGAGCGCCCGTCCCCATCTTCAGCAGCAAGTCTAGAGTTCGAACTTCGATAGTACCAGTAATCATCAGTTCTCGTTACGCCTAGTGGCACATAAGGCTTCAGAGAGGACTTTCCATGCTTTTCTGTCCTGTGCAATCTTCAGTGCAGTTTTCCATGTCAAAGATGCCTCACTCAGGTCACTTTCCATCGTTCGTCTCCATGTTGTTTTTGGGCGCCCCTATTTTCTTTTTCCCTCTGGTGTCCATGTGAGAGCTGTATTGGCAGGTATATCAGAAGTCATTCTCATAACGTGGCCAAGCCATTTCCATCTTCTCTTGGTAATCATACTGTCTAAAGTTTCTTGGTTTGTGGCTTGAAGTAGTTTAGTGTTTGAGATTGTATCTGGCCAGAAAATTTTGATAATTTAATGTAGACATGTGTGGTGGAAGGTGGACAGCTTGTGTGCATCCTTTTTGGTCATTCTCCAGCATTCCGCTCCATAAAGAAGAACTGGCAAAATGATGCTCTTGTAGAGTCGGAGTTTCGTTCCTCTGCAGTAATTGTTGGATTTCCAGATTTGCCTCATCCTTCTAAAAGCAGCTCTAGCTTTGTTCAGACGTGACTGTATGTCTTCCTTTGTCCCTCCCAGTAGGGACACCACACTGCCAAGATATGTGAAATTATCTACATTTTCAAGTGATTGGTTACTTATGGTCACTGGTTGTTGGTTTGGACTGTTTGTCACGATCTTAGTTTTCTTTATATTTATTCTCAGTCCCACCATTTCTGCTGTGCGGTTTAGTCTGTTACTTTTCTCTTGTATATGTTCATGTTTATGTGATAGGAGTGCTATATCATCAGCAAAATCAAGGTCCTCAAGCATGGTGAATGGAGTCCATCGTATGCCTTTTAATGTCCTGTCTACTGTGTTCTTTAGTTTCCAATCAATCACAAGGTTGAAGAGGAGAGATGACATAACACATCCCTGTCTTACACCCGTCTTTACTGGGAAAGATGTATTGTAATTTTTTATACTGCAGGAAAAGTCTTTATAGAAGAGAGCAATTATGTTGACTATTTTTTCTGAAATTCCATAATGTCGAAATATTTTCCACAGACCGTCTCTATGGACGCTGTCAAAAGCTTTCTCAAAGTCCACAAAGTTAATATATATACTTCTCTGCCATTCGTTGCATTGTTCTAAAATGTTACGTATGGCGAAGATGTGCTCAATTGTTCCTCTGCCCTTTCTGATCCTGCTCGTTCCACTCGTAGGCATTTATCTAGTCCTTTTTCAAGCCGCATTATGATGATTTTACAAAATATTTTGCTTAGTACTGAGAGTAGAGTAATTCCCCTCCAATTATTGCAGTCTGTTAAGTCTCCTTTTTTGAGGGATTTTGACTATTGTTCCTTCAGTCCAGTCATCAGGCAACACTTCTTTTTCCCCAAATATCTTTGAACAATGGTTCTAGAATGCTAGCAGTTGTGTTGGGATCTACTTTGAGAAGTTTTGCTGGCAGTTCGTCTTTGCCTGGTGCTTTGTTGTTCTTTAAAGTGTGGATAGCTTTAAAGATTTCTTGTTTGCTTGATGGTTCAGTAATAATGTAAATGTCCTGAGAGGCTGGTTGAATATCTGGGGGATTTTCAGGATCAGGTCTGTTCAAGAGGTCGGAGAAGTGTTTATTCCACTGCATGTCTAGTTTTTGTTCTGTGGTGAGCAGTCTGCCTTGGTTATCTCTGATGGGTATGCTATGATAATTGTTTCTGTTTCCGCAAATTTGCTGGGTAATTTTGTGTAGGGTTTGTAGATCATGTGCTTTAGCAGCATTTTCTGCTGTTTCTGCAAGATTTTCCATAAATCTTCTCTTGTCAGCTCTGGCACTTTTCTTGGTCATTTAATTTAGTTCGCTATATTCTAACATTAGTTTGTCTTTCTGACGTTCTGATTTAGTGTGATTTATGAGGCTCTTTATTCTTTTTCTCTTCGCAATATAGTCCATGGTTTGACTACTTATCCATTTTTTGTGGTGTTGTTTCCTGGTTCCATATATGTTATTGCTAGTTGATTTGTATGTTTCTTTGATCTGGTTCCATCTGTCTTGAATGCTGATTGTAGTTGGAGTTTCTGGGTCACTTGATATGGTTTGAAATATATTCTTGAGTTCTACTATAAATTTAGTGGCAATGTCATTTTCTCTTAAAAGGTTAACATTGTAACGTGCTGTCTGTGTCTTAACTTGCGTATACATTTTTTTTGAGTTTAAGTCGTAGTAGAGAGACTACAAGGTGATGATCGCTTCCCACATCTGCTCCCCTTTTGACACGCACATCCAGTAGGGACCCACGCCATTTTCTGTTTACCATGAAATTGCCGACCTGGTTTACATCTCTTCTGTTTGGGGATATCCATGTAAGCTTGTGTATATTCATGTGAGGAAATAGTGTTCCTCCTATAACAAGTCTATTCGCCGTGCAGAAATCGCTCAGTCTTTCCCCGTTGTCATTAATTGTACCACATCCTTGATTTCACATTGATAGTTCTCTATTCAAGTTGTTGTTACCAACTTTTGCATTGAGATCTCCCATAGTGCATAGAATATCATGGGCTGGTACTTTATCTACTACCTCTTGCAGTCTCATATCGAATAAATCGGTTAAAATGGACACTAGACAGCGGCGCTGTTCGAAGCAGAGGCAAATGTTTTGCTTCTGCCGGACGGTGGCCGAAGTATTTTTGCTCCATTTGTAGACTGGATATAGTTTCGTCGCCCAGCTTCTGAGTTGAATGCATGGCGTGACCCTGTGAGCTGCGGATTGCATTTGGAATGTTTTTTCGACTGTGACCAACGTGGTGTGAATTGGAGATTCAGAAAATGGCGTGATGCCGGTCGTCAATGTTGGCGGTGCCCGGATGTGATTACAATTGATCGCGTGGGCAACTGCTGTTCTGTTGGCAACAAGTTCTGCTATCATCAATGATGAACTGCATTTCTAATGTTGGACTGTTTGTGCTAGCACTTCGGATGGCTACCGTATGCTTTAATG